ATATATATATATATATATTATTTCCTCTTTCTTTAATCTATATATCTATGTATTCCTCTATTATTGGAAAAGGAGAAAAGAGAGTAGGTAGGTCTGAGTTGGTTATTGGAATTAATTAAACTATTAGTAGAGGAAGAGAACAAGCAAGGAGTGAAAAAACAGAAGCAAAAAAAAGAAAAACAAACAATAACAAGACAGAAAGAAAGAAAATGGAAAAAAAATGGCTAGTGAAGAAAGAGGAGAAGTATGCATGTACTTAGAGCAGGGGAGAGGAAATTAGATATACAAGTAAGATCAATTTTTAACAGGAAGTAAAAAAATATAGAGAAAAAACTAAAGCAGGAACAGTGTAAGAGAAACAGGACAAAAAAGGGAAAAAGTGAGGAAGAGAGAGTTGGCAAAAAAATTGAGATAGAATAAAATAATGCTAAAATAAAAATAGAATGTAGAACATTAATCCCAAAATAATATAAAATAAAATAAAGAAAAAATAAAACTTAAAAAGGTAAAATAATAGTAGTACTACTAATAATTAAAAATAAAAATATAATAATAAAAAAGTAAAATCAAGTGAGAAAAAAAATTTAGTTTCTTAAGTAAAAGATAAAAAATAAAAAAGTGAAGTAGTGAAGGTGGTTCACTTCCTCTACTGTTCTTCCTGGCTCAACTGTTTTCTGTCAGGTAGTAAGCACAGTGTTGAAGTTCCCTGGGATCCACCACTCCTCTGTGTCATAAGCCACAACCTCGTTTTCAAGCAGGTAGGATCTCTCTGCTCACTTTGTTTCTCTGCCTGCCTTCAGTTTTATTTATACAAGTGTCTAATCTGATAACCCCTGAGTGGTGGTGTTTCTGTATTAATTTCTGGAACTAAATGGCCCTATCTACTCAGGGTTCAGATTCTTCTTTCCCTGCTGCACTTAATACTGGGTTGGCAGAACAAACTGACCCAGAGCTGGTTTCCTGTTCATCTCTCCTTATTCTGATCCCCGGTTTCCACAAAAACAACTTTCTCCTGCCATCTCTGTGTGTTTTTAATTGGAAGATCCTATGTACTGGATTTAGCAAGCAAAAGCAAGGAGGTAAAAACAACAACAACAAAAAGACAAGACAAAGGAACCATGCCGACTCGCGTCTTTTTCCCCTGGCACTACATAGCCGATATAGAACTTCAGGCTGCCTTTCTGGAAACAGTTTCCCATGGCTGTGGGCTTATATCTAGAGTCCCCTTTGGCCAGCAGCCCTTTGGACCCCCTTCCACATTCGAGGGCTACACTGACCCCAAGGGCCACTCATTTGGTGGGGCGCAGTCTCCCTCTGAAACTCTAGTCCCCAATACACGTGTTTCTTCCTCCAGCCTGGATCCCAGATCTCACCTCTCTCTAGACCAGTGGTTCTCAACCTGTGGGTCGCCAACCTGTGGGTTGCAACCCCTTTGGGGCTCAAACGACCCTTTCACAGGGGTCGCCTAAGACCATCAGAAAACACATATATAATTACATATTGTTTTTGTGATTAATCACTATGCTTTAATTATGTTCAATTTGTAACAATGAAAATACATCCTGCATATCAAATATTTACATTATGATTCATAACAGTAGCAACATTACAGTTATGAAGTAGCAACAAAAATAATTTTATGGTTGGGGGTCACCACAACATGAGAAACTGTACTAAAGGGTCGTGGCATTGGGAAGGTTGAGAACCACTGCTCTAGACCCATGGTCGGCAAACAGCAGCTCGTGAACCACAGGCAGCTTTTTGGCCCCTTCAGTGTGGCTCTTCCACAAAATACCACATGCGGGCGCATACGTACAGTGCAATTGAAACTTCGTGGCCCATGCACAGAAGTCGGTATTTTGTGGAAGAGCCGGTATTTTGTGGAAGAGCCACACTGAAGGGGCCAAAAAGCTGCCTGTGGTTCACGAGCTGCTGTTTGCCGACCATGGGTCTAGAGCAGTGGTTCTCAACCTTCCTAATGCCACGACCCTTTAATACAGTTCCTCATGTTGTGGTGACCCCCAATTTCATTGTTACAAATTGAACATAATTAAAGCATAGTGATTAATCACAAAAACAATATGTAAGTGTTTTCCGATGGTCTTAGGCGACCTCTCTGACCTCTCCATCCATGGATTGCCTCACCAGCTGTGTTTAATTCACCAATTCCAGGTGGATGTTATGCCATTCAGCTGTTCCTTCTATCTGCTCTGTGAGAAGGCGCAGAGCCCATCTGCGTATTCAGCGCCGTTTTGTCTCCCCATGGAGAAGTTTTTTAGGTGCCCGTGGTCAGGGAGGCTGGAATCTCGGTGTTTGTGGGTTTGAAGCTGAGGCAACTGGGCATTGTGGTTGTAGGGTTCTGGGAGGTTTCCTAGGTCTCCCCTGTTGAAGGTAAGGCTGGGCTTCCAATCACAGCCACTCTCCCCTTCAAGATGGTGCAGTCTCTGCAGCAGAGCCGGCCACTCCAGGAGAGATTTCAGTAGTAGTAAAGACTACCCAGCCAGTGGAGCCTGGTCCGCCAGTCCCCAACAGTCCTGTGGAATATAGCTGTCCCTCCCTCACACATACACACACTTCCCGCATGTCCACGCACTCACCTTTCACTCTCTCACTCACTCACTATCTTGCAGCCTGCCGTCCCATTGGCCGCCATCTTCAGGAACCTGAAGGAACTCTTAACAGTTCTTTGCAACACATCTTGATTATGAAATGAACTTAAGAGATTTACTTGGCACAGCTACCTTTGAAAAGTGATAGATCCAGGTGTTCTGCCTATATAAACCCTAGTACAGGGTCTCCCACTTGAGGTATTCCCTTGTTTGACCATCCTGCTGCTCTGTAGACTCACATGAAGCATAAAGAGCTCTGACTAGACCAGTGGTTCTCAACCTTCTGGCCCTTTAAATACAGTTCCTCATGTTGTGACCCAACCATAAAATTATTTTCGTTGCTACTTCATAACTGTAATGTTGCTATTGTTATGACCGTAATGTAAATTATGCAGGATGTCTTAGGCGAACCCTGTGAAAGGGTCGTTCAACCACCAAAGGGGTCGAGACCCACAGGTTGAGAACTGCTGGACTAGACCCTCATGGGTAGCAAGCCTGGATCGTGCTGTTCAAAGTTAAGAAAATTGTTAGTAAAGCTTAACTCCCTAGTAGAGAATCTCCCAGGGCCATTACCAAACATATTCTTGGAAAACACATAATAAGAAAAATCTATAATAATAAAAGCGTAATATGCTAATTAGACAAGGACGTCCTTCTGGATGACTTTCTGGATGAAGCTGGGGCTGCAAGGGAAGCCTGGGTCCCAGGTGCCTGCCAGTGGCCAGAGGGAAGCCCAGGTCCTGGGTGCCAGAGGGAAGCTGGTGCCAGCAGCTGGGGAAGGAAGGCCTACTCTTGCATGAATTTTGTGCATCGGCCTCTAGTGTAATAATAAAGGGAAAAATGCTGTTACCATAATGTGGAATTGAAAAATAATGGGAAGTTGGTCATTTCAATGCTGTGAGAAGATATTCCAAAATGAGTTTGAAGGATGATGAATGCAAAATATAAATGCCCTACTTCTAGTATTACTTATCAGTGAGGCTCTTACAGGATTTATGTAAATATCTATTTCTTATGCATCAGGCAGTTGTGTGAAATTACCTGTAAATGTAACTTCAGGGAGTGCTAGTCTTTCTCTCAGGAAGTGATCTGCTTAGTGGGATATGAGAAGTCTAGAGAAAGACTTATCCAAACAAGCCTCTTTTTCTATTGATTGACATTTGTTGATTGAAAAATCTATCACCAACACTATTATTTTGTATTTACTCGATTTTTGAAGTCTGTAAATGTTACCATCATACAATTGGATCTTCAAATAATACTGCAGATAGACAGGGTAGAGAGGAAAGTGAAGCTTAGAGACCTTAAATCGTTCTGTAGATTATAAGACTCTTGGCAGAACATTCATTCACTTCACAAAATAATATGTCATGCCCCTATTATGTGCCAGGGTCCATGATAGGCACTATTTAGGCACTAAGGAAATAAATATGAAAGACAGTTCTTGTCTAGCATAGCCCATTTGAAATATCATGTGATGGGGCCTAGGCTAGGGGTCTCAGATCTCCTAGCTACCCATTCAGTAGATTTTTCCACCCCACCAAAGGTTTGTTATTAGAAAGTCTTTCGTATGCTATGAAAAACTATCTCCTTTTAAAATACAAATTACCATGGGAGTGTGCCACATTTAACCTTTATCTGCTGCAATTCCTTTCTTGTGAATTAGTTGTTCTGCTCTTTCCTACAGAATAGGCAATGAAAGCAGTTCTTTGCAGAAAGAACTATAGAAACATAGTTTAGGGATGGGGAGGTGTGAAGTGTCAGGGAGGGTACAAAGTCATTTTAGAGAGGCTTGGGTAGGATCCAAAAGAGTGCTGAGGATGATTCTAGAAGGTAAGGGTCAGCACTGAGAATACAGTTCATCCACTTTACAATTTACCATGAATGAACCTAGACTAAGGATATTAATATACATTTTTTAAAATTAATATTTCCTGGGCACATATTTAAGCCTGAGACTAGGTTAGGCTCTGAGGACCCATGTAGCTTTGAACTAGATTGGTTTCATCCTTGTCCTCATTGAGATTAGAGTAGAGCAGGGACATGGACATTGTCGAGTAATTTGAGCTCTTTAGTGCTATTCAAGAAGCGCATACAGTAGAGCCCAGTCCAATCTGGTTGATGAGGGAGTTCTTTGAGTTCATATAATTGAATTGGGCCCTAGAACACTGAGAGAAGAGTAAGTGAACAGAGTTACTGTGCTCACTGTCTTCACTTAAATCAGTAATCAGGGAACTCTGTCAAAATAGAATTTTCAGGGAAAAGTGATACAAATTGTGTTTTCTGTTGAAATTTTCGAAATCCACTGACTTGGCTTGCCTGGGGAACTTCTCTCTTCTTCACAGAAAATACATGTCTTCAAGAAGACCTTGCAGGCATTGATCTACCCCATGTCTTCCACCACCCCACACAATTTTGAAGTCTGGACAGCCACGACACCAACCTACTGTTACGAGTGTGAAGGGCTCCTGTGGGGCATTGCCCGGCAAGGCATGAAGTGCTTGGAGTGCGGAGTGAAGTGCCATGAAAAGTGCCAGGACCTCTTGAACGCCGACTGTTTGCAGAGTGAGTACTTGGCTAGGCTGAAGAGGTGGTTTTGTGGCGCCCTCCTTATCCTATATATTTTCAGGTTAGTCCTCTTCAGCTCTTGCTAGTTTTCCTACCACGTATGCAAAGAAACACATACTGCCCATTCGGTCATGTAGTTGAACTTGGTGCGATTCCTACAGTGTTGAACTCACTCGGCGCAATTAGATTTCTCAGAGTGAGTACCTAGAGTACAATTGCACTGACATCCAGTAGAAAACTTTACAGGACTCCCAGTTGATTTTCTCATTTTACCTCATCATAGCTCCAGGGGGGTAAGTGAGAATATGTAGAGTCATGTTCCTCAAACAGAGGCTAACACACACACCCGTGATTCCAGCAACTGGAATTTTTTCCAAGCCTATTTGTGTCTGATTGAAGGAGCCATCTTCTTCTACATCCCATGCACAGGCCTTAGATTGGGAGGTCTTGTGTTTGAATGTCAAAGACAAACCTATGTTACCAAATACGTGATCTTAATCAAGAATTTTACCTTTTTGGGCTTTATTTTCCTCCACCAAATGAACAGGAATCACAGATTTGCCTCAGAGAGTTATTGGAAATAGTCTCTTCTAATTGTCTGGCAGACGGTAGGTGCTCAATGAATCTTAGTAGCCCTTCCACGCTTTCACACTTCCAAATAGGTACTTGTGTCAACCTTCATGACATGTGTTACTTTAAATTTTCCATTTTCAAAAAAATAATTATTTTTACTGATACTTTAGATTCAGTCCAGAAATGCCAAAATATCACACTCTAAAGTACATATTACTGACTTTCACTGCCTTATTTATTTGGTCATGTGTGCTGACCTTAAATAAGTTAAAAAAGCATTGCCCGAGAAATATATTTGAACATGGATTTTTATTTGCAAATAATGTTTTGTTTTGTTTTTTCACATTTAAACACTGACCCCTCTGTTCATTGTTTATATAAATGCGGTCAATGTAAGGTTCATGGGTTGCTAAGGGATAGAGGAAAATGTCAAAGTAAGGATTAAATAAGAAATGCTTTCACGGCTGGCATTTGTAGTAACAGGAACATACATTCTATAATTTTCTCTACCTGATTAGTATTCTTCATACACAGTCTGATCAGTTTGAGTCTAATAGTAATAAATGTATTTTCTTAGCAAAAAAAAAAGTAGTAGTATTCCTCTGGGATACTACTGAAAAAAAAAGTTTTATATATGTATATGTATGTATATATATATATAAATTTGGTGAATATGCATACACTCCCAACAAGGAGACTGTGCAGTCTTGCTTCCTTTATGCAGAAAATTGCTCAGCTAATTTACTTAAAGTCTCATAATTCAATTAAAATCCAATCCATTTGTTTAGAAAATGAATTGTAAAATAGGCATCTAAGAAATGAGCTTATTAGGTCAAGGACGTTTGAAAAACAGATAGGAAAAGTATTGCCATCTAGAAACAAATAGCTTGAATCCCTTTAAAAAAATGATACAGATCATACCTGAGAAATGAGCTTATCCTTCTTTCAATCTTTTAAAGAACAGAAATGCCACGCATTTATTAAGCTTTAGAAACATTTTCATAATCCATTTCCTTTTCTTAAGACAACATATATTATTGGATTTTGGCCAATAAACTAGGCAAATTTCTCATTGAGGTTATTCATAAAAATGCACATATAAATGGGAAGAATCAACAATAGTTCAGAAAAATGAGAGTAGATATATATGTTCCAGAAAGAGGGTAATTTTTTTAACACCTCCCTTTTTTGCAAAAAAGTTCACTTCCACATTGAACACAAATGGGTTTTCAAGTATATGAATTCAGCTTTACCACTTTTCACAATAACTATCAAATTTAAAATTCTCCCTATGGAATTAGTGACATTTCTTTAATAAATTTCTCTTGATCATTGCTTTAAGCTAGATATTTACAGTGGGAACACCTTGCGTGAGATATTTCCATGTATGCCATCATTGAAAAGGAAGGAATAAAAAATTAAGAAGTTAAGAGATATCAGAGTTGGAAGGTGTAGCTAATGCAACCTCCTTCTCAAAAATGGTCATTCAGTCTCTGAACACCTCCAAGGAAAATTTAATACCTTGATAGACAGCTAAATTCATCACTAGTGTATGAATTAAAATTTGAACTAAGTCCTTCCTGCCTCCTTTAACTTCTATTATTTAAGCCAAATCTTACCTCTAGAGGAAACATTTAATACATTGATTCCATTGCATATAACAGTTTTCACATATTCTTTCCCTCACATGCACAAAGGAAATAAAAAGACTTTACACATGGTCTGACCAATGACCCATGCAAAAGAGAGAGTATTTAAATTTACTTCAAATTGAGTTGAGTTTAATATTTCATTTCCATCAAGTGTTGGGTCTGTGACTTATACATTTGCAGTCAAGTGGGATCAAATCGGATTATTATAAAATCCCATTCACTGCTTCCGTACTTCTTTGAAGGTTCGGAGCTATAGAAAAACATCAGTAAGTTCCCCGAACAGTCTCATCTTAGCTCCTCTTCGACTAAGTTTACTTGGAGGTGCTTCTTATACTTGTCTGTCTTCCTGGCCCAAGGCTCTTAGCTATATAGTTATAGGTGGGAACAGAGGCCCTGAGAAAGAGAACTGGCTTTTCTTTCTGTTTCAGTTCCAGGCCAGTGGCAGTAGCCAGGGTCTCACTGCCCCTCCCCCCCCCTTTTTTTAATTAACTCATTTGGGTCTTGCTATCTAAAAAGACCTTTTTTTTTCCTTTCTGATTTTTGTAAAACCTTAGGTGGTTGAAGAATTGAGATGTTAGTGACCCTGAATGATGTTAATATAACCCATAAGAAACTTGCTATTACAGTTATGGTAGCAACTTTAATATAGAAAAAAAGCAAAAAACGTATATGTTGGCTGGAATGAGGATGTGTGCAGCATGAAGCATATGTAGAGGAGAGATCATATGTAAAATATTTTCTTTATCTTTTCAAAGTGGAAAAGAGACAACTTCAATATTGGAAAAAATATGCAAATACCATGGTATCTAACCCAACGGGCCTTTACTTTCTTACATATTTCCAAGGAAGGAATCCCAGAGTCCCACTGAATAAGCATTCTGCCTAATAAGGATGGAAAGTATTTCTCCAAAAGTTAAAGAAAGCAGCATCTCATGAGCGTTTTTGTTTGTTTGTTTGTTTGTTTGTTTTTGTTGTTCTCTGTGTTCCCCACTGACATTGTATAAAGCTCATGTGTCCTAATTATTACCCATTGCAAATTCATAACATTGGAAAGTCTGGCTAGGGTACTCCTGTCTGCAAACTAGATATTGATTCTCTTTCTTTGTATTTGTGTTGCCACATTCTGCAATAGTGATATCTTAAGATGGTTATTTGTATTGAGCAGCTTCTGTGGGTGGGAGCTCTATGCTGGGCTTTCAGAGCTCAAAAGGAAGTAATTGATGTTGTCCCTCAACTCAAACCTATTTTCTAAAACTTAATTCAGATGAATAGATGTTAACACATATCCTGGAAACTTTTGACATCTACTCTTTCAACAGCAATTATACAAAATATGCTAATGTAATGAATACTCAGGAAGCTTAGAAGTAGAATTCTGCGTATTCACTGCTATACAAGGAGACCATAGCCTTTATTTCCCCAGAACTTAGACACATTTAAGCACTGGTGGCTGTTTAATAAATGTCAGTTTATTAATGAGGACCTAAGAACTATAGTTAGAAATGTCATGTAATGATTTAAAGATCATTCTTTCATAGAACCATCGATTTTTAGAGGAGCCTTTAAGATCAGTGGATTAGATTTCACTGAGTTCACACAATTTAGTATCTTGTCAAAAAAATAAAAAGAACCAAGTAGATATTAGAGTTAGAACTCAGGTTTGTGCACTCCAAGCCCAGTATTCTCTCCTAATTTATAAAGAAATATACAAAGTTGGCCATAAGGAAAGAAACTGAAAGTTGTTGAATTTTATTGGTAGTGCTTTTCCAGTCTCGCATAGAGTTCCCCTGTCTGTAAGACATCCCGTGCTGCCCAGGTAGATCTTGGCTTCACAGAACTTCCCATCATGATGATGCCTCAAGCACACCCCTATCACAACATGCTATTGCATTGACTCTTCAACCACACTAAAGAGGAAATAATCTGATACATTAATGTGCGTAAAAGTGAAATCAGTAGTTAAGTTACTTTAATACAATGGCCAGTTCCTTAACCCAAAAGAATAAACTAATAATGGAGTATTTTCAATTGCTGGGGTTTCTGTAGGGGGATGAAAGGGTAACTATGTCTTATATTATGTCATACAGTTATCAACATAAACATAAGAAAGATCTAGTTTCTCATCCTGCTACTACTGGAATTTTTTAAAACCTCTCTGAGCATCATTTTCCACACTCGTAGTTTTAAAAGTTTAGTTTCTTACCCATTGCTGAAGGGAGCATGCAGAGCAGGGTGAGCTGTGTAGTGTCTCAGTAAGAGGATATAGTTTTTGACTCTGAAATTTTTAAAAAGAAAGTATCTAGATAATGCTTATGAGTTGTAGTAGCTTTGACATACAATTCTGTGAGTGGATTCCTGATTTTGTCTTCTTTTAATATGCAATACTAAATGTTAGTATTTACAATTAATGAGACAATTGAATATGGTGGAGGTGGTGGAGGTGGAGGGGGAAGAAATGTTGCTTTTTGTTGGTTTTTGGACCCAAGTTCACTAATAGTGAAGTCATTTCATAGAAGGTGGCAGTGAGGGGGCCGCCCTTGGGAGTGGGGGACGATGCTATGCTAGAACTGTGTTCCTCCAATTATTTTTCTGCTAATTATCAGTCCTTTGTCGGTTTGCCAGAAATCCTGTGGAGTGTGTGGCTTTTATTATATAAGAAAAAAAGGAGGTGGCTGACTTGAAGACTGGGGGAGTTGCAGGTTGGTCCTTGAAAAGAATAAAGACATGTTAAAAGAGGAGGGTTAAGATTATCTTGGGTGTGAAGCAACTAAA